ATATATAACAACCTAAAACCTAACCTAACCTTAATATAAGATGACCCTAACCCTAAAGTTAATTGAGAAAATTATTAAGAAATATGAGTTGCCCCCGCTTTAGACGTCCCCCAAATCGGGCGTCTGCTACTGAAAGTGTTACTTCTACGTAAAACAAAGTTTCGAAAATAAGCTGCATTTAAAGTTTTCGTATGACAACTATGCCACAAATGGTAGCTTATTTTAAGTCATATACGGTATATTTTATCTTCTACGTGTCTAATTAGTGCAAGTGGGTCATTAATCATCAGCGTAAATAGTAAAAACATAAAATTTAAATTGCAATAACTCTTGAACACACAAATAAAATTATATTTGTCGGGTTCAATTTAGTGCGCTCTTTAAAGTAATAATGCTTTTTTTCATTAATTTTTATTGTTTGGAGCATAGCGAGAACCCAATTTTTCTATGCAAAATGGTCGTTTTTGATGCATTTTTTAATAAAAATATCAAAAACGTAACTTTAAATTTTTCGTCGGTCACCATTGCATAATACAATATGATTGACAAAAAATTTTAACGTTAAAAAATACTCCAAATAAAAATAAATAAAAAAAAAAGCGTTATTACTTTAAAGAGCGCACTAAAATGAACCCGGCAAATATAATTTATTTGTGTAGGTTTGCCCGTTCAAAAGTTATTACAATTTAAATGTAATTAGATTACAGTAAGCGAAGTCCGCGAATATTAACGTTAACGTGCGTTTAAAGTTAGGAATGGCGATTTTAGACGTTACTTTCTCAAAAAGTATAAAGTTATATTGACTGTTTTGACCATAAATTATTTCGCAGTGTAATTATAGATAATCAATACTGCGGATAATCAGATTAATAGAAATAATTTAAAATAAGCCACAAATTAATTGATTAACTTTACTTGAAAAAATGGCAGAACAAAAAGTTGGTAAGCGCTAGTTAAAAACCTTTTTGAGTGAAGGAATGCTCAGGTCTAGCACAAAATGTTTATATCTCAGAAATAAAAGGAGTTTTATTGTTCACTATAATCTTTACTTTATACCAAAGCAATTCTTTCGGTTTATAACAAGTTTTGTTTGGTTGAACTTGCGAAAGAACTCAATGACCTAAATGTAAAGCTTATTGGTTCTGGGGGAACTGCCAAAAAAATTCGAGAAGCAGGAATTCCTATCTCGTAAGTACAATTAAGGTTATCATATATTAATCAAATTTTTTTATTTTTTTTTTATTATAAATTTGGCGAATTATTTAAAATGATTTAGGGATGTATCCGAAATAACCAATGCTCCAGAAATTTTAGGAGGACGTGTAAAGACTTTACATCCAGCGGTTCACGGTGGTATGTATTGTGAATCACGTGAGAATTTCGTCATATGTTCAACAAATTATTTACTTTGAAATAGGTATTCTCGCTCGCAACATTCCAAGTGATGAAGCTGACCTGATTGCACAGAAAATACAAAAAATTGATTACGTTATCTGTAATCTTTATCCTTTCAAAGAAACAATTGCAAAAGAAGGGATTACAATTGCTGAAGCTGTAGAGGAAATTGATATTGGTGAGAAATTTATGAATATTTTTCACGGATTATACATAAAGTTCCTCAGACCCTAAATATACATAGATAATAGGTGGTGTCACGCTTTTGAGAGCCGCTGCAAAGAACCATGATCGCGTGACTATTCTTTCCGATCCAAATGATTATTCAACATTTTAGGTTGAAAATCAGCATAAACATGGGGGCAATTCAGCAATTGCAATTTATGGAATAACTAGGAATCCAGATGATGATAATTATATGATGGTTATGCATTACGCAAAACAAGGAAGTCTCCGAAAATTATTAGATAGTAGATATAAAGATTTAAGTTGGAGACATAAAATACTTAACTTATATTACATAGCTAAAGGACTTGATGCAATTCACAAAGCCAATTTAGTGCACAAAGACTTTCATTCCGGAAATATAGTTAACAACAATACGTATAGTTCTTTCATTACTGATTTTGGCTTATGTAGGCCAGTATCTCAAGATTCAAAGTCTACAGAGATTTTTGGTGTACTTCCTTATATTGCTCCAGAGGTATTATATACAAAAGGAATAGAGTATACCCCAAAATCAGATATTTATTCTTTTGGAATAATTATGTCAGAAGTTTTTACCGGATATCCTCCATATCATGACATTCCACATAATGGAGATCTAGCGATTCAAGTTTGTCTAGGACATAGACCAGAAATCAGGTGTAAAGTTCCGCAATTACTTTTAGATTTGATGAATAAATGCTTAGATGCTGAACCTCAAAGCCGACCAACTGCTGAAGTATTAGCAAATAAGCTGAAGCAATTTTTTTATAATGTGGACTATCGCGAAACCGAATTATATAAACAAGTTGAAGAAATTGAAGACTCTGGCAAAAATCCTTCAATATATGATCAAGCAAAGTTGACTCGATTTAATTATCAAACGCATAAACAAGCTATTTATATAAGCCGATCTTTAAATTTTTCAAAACTTCCTAAACCAATAAATGCAGGTAAAGCATATTATCTCAAAATATATGCCTTAAGTTTTATTTTAATGTACAGCGACTCTATATAATGGATAGTTCAGGATCAAATTGGTTAAGGCTTTATTATGCCTTTATATTGCGTGTCGTCTTTATTGTGAACTATAGAAAGTCAGAAAAACTAATTCTTAACCTTTTTTTATCTAGCAATGAGTAAACCTATCGACCAGGTTGAAATACCCGATGTGTAATCCGCTAAACTTTATGGATATCTAGTTATCCAATTACTAGTTATATTTATTGTTGTGGTTGATGCTGAAATTTGGACCTATTTTGGTATGAAGTTTTAAAATTTTTGAGGTGTTTTTTTCCGTTTTTTTTTAGAGATGGATTTTGGGCTAAAATTTATTATTAAAGTGTATATGTGGATTTT